AATCATCACACACTGTGCCCCACTGTCCATCATTGAAGATCTCCACTCTGCCAGAGCAGCGGTTCTGACCATTGACCAGCCTCACTGTTGAAGCAGCTAATAGAAAACCAAAAGAAGGAACACTGTCTATGGGAGTACTTCAGAGGAAAGGTGGACTTATTAGAATAATATAACAATATAATAATATATATAATATATAATAATATAACATAATCATCTTTCTACTATTTATTTTACTTTGGCTGACAGGTGACAACATGTTATTTTAAACTTATTTTTAATTTGTTGGTAATTTGATAGTTCTTGGGGGCAGTGTCTGTGGATTCATGGAAATATCTTCATAGTAAGTTTATCTTTATTGAAAAAATTCTCATAATTCAAGACTAAAAGAAAAAATTGTTGTGTGGATAAAAACCTGTAGTAGTATGTAACAATAAATCATCTTAGTTCAGTGTTATCCCAAATGCACACACGAACAAAGTTGGATTTCACTCTCTTTAACCTCACATGTTCATATTTACCTTCACAGACGACACCAGCATCCTCAGAGTGACCACAGTTATGAGATCCAAACCCTCTGTGTTGACACTCAGAGAGCTTTGATTCGTTGCCTGTGCATGTGACATCGTCCAACCAGATGGGTCCGCTGCCCTGTCCAAATCGCGCGTTTGTTGGTGCTGAGAAGACCCTGCCACAGCCCAGCTGTCTACACACCACCTGAGCATCTACCAGGCCCCAGGCATCGTCACACACCGTCCCCCACTGTCCACTGTGGAAGATCTCCACCCTGCCAGAGCAGGAGCTGTTTCCATTAACCAGGCGGACCTCCCCCTCGGCTGCTGTGCTGTTGCCCACTGGTGTTGTGGTAGAGATGTTAGCGGTCACATGTGTGGTGGTGAAGTTCTGTGGCCTTGGTGTTGTGGTAGGTAAAACAGGTGTAATTGTGTTCACTTCTGTTTAAAATAATAATAATAATCATGCACTCAGAAACCATTGAACCAACTGAATCATCTACAGGTTAATCATATTTAAAGCATAAGATTACCTGCGCAGTATGCAAGGAGGCATGTATATGGCTTCACAAGTTTGTAGACATAGTAGTTTGCATGGCAAAGTTTAACATGGATGGTGTGTGACCGAAAATGGCAGCAGCTGCCTTCCCAAACATTGCACACAGTGCGATTCACAATTTCACCTGACCATGTGGGATGAGGTTGTGTTATCCACAAAGGCGCATGAGTTCCACACCTGTTTGATTCGACACACCTCTCTGGAATATGAGCACTGGTTTGATTCAAAAACAGGCGATACCAGCCTTTCCAGTTTATATCTTTATCACAGTGTAGGACCTCAGTATTTGTGTTATTTGTTGAACGCCAGTCATCATTCAATGTTGCGTAGTTCTCACAAGGGTCCACACATTGGGAATTGATGCAGTCCGTGCCTGAAGGACAAACTGTGTTCCCACAGTAGAACTGGACAGATTGGGAAGAGGCAGCTGCTCTGTTCTTGGAGGAAGGCTCCGGACATTCGTATGAGCCTGGCGTGTTGTGGCAAATCTGAGGTGGTGTGCATGGTGAGTTTGGGAGGGAACACTCATCAATGTCCACACAGCCCTTCTCTGAGGACCAGTGGTAACCTCGGTCACAGCAAGAAGAGTCACTGCAGAGTTTTGGGTCATAGCAGGTGAGGCCATCACCTACAAAGCCATCTTTACAGATACATGAGAGGGCGTGGCTGGTGAAGGTGTCACCTCTTTCCTGTGACTCCAAGCAGGTGGCTTTGCCATGACATGAATCACAGCTGGTCACAGGAGTCCCTGCAGACAAAAAAAGTCACAGCACTTAAATACAAGTAAGACTTTTTGATTCAAAATCATTTTGAAAAATCTTTTGAAATCTCACCACAGTGTAAAATATCTGAATTTAAAAAGAAGAAAGATTTGAGTAATTTGTTGTAATTTAGATAATTCATCAAAATAACTCTTTGGAGGCATTTCACGTCACTGTTGAATACTTACTGAATATGAGGTAAATATTTGTCTACTTTCAAACTGATATTTAAATAACATACCTTACCTAAAAAATTTCTAAAGGAGAAACGTGAAAATGTAAAATTAGCAAATTCATTCTAGTTTGTCTGGAGCAAATATTTAATTAGTGTCTTAATTAGAGGCACAATAATTGACTAAGGAAAGAGTACCATTATAATAATTACATTAGTCCATTTAGAAAATGAATTTATGTCTAACTAGAGATGATTTACCTGAAGAAGTTCCTGTGAAAATATGCACAAGTATGAGTAAAAACAGTCCAGAAGGCGTTCCCATTATTGATCACATCCACGACTCAAACTGTGTGAAAAAGACAAAGGAGATGTTTTAAAACTGCATTTTTACATTATGCCATCTTATTCTGTATTAAATCTATAACTTCTGATGTGTCTGTACTTACCCTGGAGAGAATCCAGCGCTTAAGCTCACAGAGAGTCTGAGGATGAGAATTTATTGGCCTGTTTCTGTGTGCAAAGGACAAATAGAAGTGGTTGATGGGGAAATATACAAGTAGGTAAGACAAAGAACTTATTCATATGGCATCAAAGGAGTTACTCATTAATCTAAAGAAAGAAAAAGAATCACGTCCACAATGAAAGGGCACATCCACAAAGCCCGAGTCATTTTTATGGTACAACAATCAGTCATAAATTGACGTTTGCACAATCCAGCATTTTCTCACACTTTGTTCATTTATAACCATCTCAGAAGATAAAGAGTACACTAAGTTTTGTACAATGAAGCTATCTGCCGGACATTCAGAGATGTTGTTTGATCCAATATTCTTATCTCAAGTTCCTGTTGGCATCCAGACTTTCAACTATTCAATATTTCCAGTGACATCAGGTGAATCCTGCTGATAATCATGGATGAATTTAAATGCCCCAGCACATGTAAGTACTTTTACAGTTAGACCCAAAAGGTTTTGGATAAAGACTCGCTGTTGTTGTAAGTTTGACTGTCATAAAACGCTGTGTGGCAGGCAGGAGATGAGGACTCAAAATGCAGGACTCACAGACTCGAGGGATGAACTCAAAACCTCAGCTTTATTTGCTGGTTGCAGAAAAACGAGCATACAAAGTAAACTAAATTAAACTGGGGAATAACACACTAAACTCACAGGGAGACACACGCGGCATGAGGGACGACGCAACACTCAGAGAAACACAGGGTTTAAATACACTGGGAAGTAACGAGGGGAATGAGACACAGAAGGAGGGCACAGCTGGGAGAAATCAAGACTGACGAGACAAGGAAGCAAAGCACGACACATTCACATAAGACACGGACCTTCAAAGTAAAACAGGAAGTATGACACAGAGA